CGTTAGATATGGATAAACCAAAGCATAATATATTAGTTTCAAAGAGTTTAAGTTTGTGAAATGCCTTATCCTGGAAATAATTGCTGCACATTTAATTATTTTTTTGTAATCAAATCCATGTGGTTACACCATGTCAAGAATTCATCAATAACAATCCCTAAAAATGTAGTGTTTTTGACTTGTTCTATATTGTTATTATTGATCGAAATGTTAATGGTATGTTTAAGTTTCTTTTTTTTGTTCTAAAATTATAAATTTGGTTTTTTTTGTATTTATAGACAATTTATTTGCATTAAGCCAATCTGAAATTTTGTTAATTTCGACTTGAATGATTTCATTCAATTTTTTAAGACATTCATTACTATATAGAATGTTTGTGTCATCTGCAAATAATACAACAGAAATCAGTTCACTGCAGTATTGTAAGTCATTTATATATAAAAGAAACAATAAAGGACCCAAGACTGATCCCTGTGGTACACCGCTTTTAATAATCTTTTGCTCGGATTGAAATCCGTTATATTTCAATATTTGTTTTCTATTGTTTAAGTAATTTTCAAACCATTTTTTGGCCACTCCCCGAATACCATAATGTTCCAATTTCTTTATCAGAATCTTGTGATCAATTGTATCAAATGCCTTAGATAAATCAAGGAAAATACCAACAGAGTATTTACCTTCATCAATTGCATTAGTGATTTTATCGATAAAGTCAATCAATGCATGTTCAGTTGATCTCTGTTTCCTAAATCCATATTGATGTTTTGATAAAATTTTATTTTTATCAATAAATTTTGATAGTCTATTAATCATAAGTTTTTCTAACAATTTTGCAAAACAAACAAGTACTGATATTGGTCGGTAATTTTCAAACTTCATTTCGTCATTAGCCTTGAAAATTGGTGTAATCAACGCAATTTTTAGATTTTCTGGAATGATTCCAGTCGTAAATGTTAGATTGAAAATGTGTGTTAATGGTTTAGAGATTTCTTTAGCTACTATTTTTGTAATGCTTGTGCTAATACCATCATATCCACAACTTTTTTTTGGCTTCATGTTTTTTAGTTCAACTTCTAATTCATTTTCTGTGATGGGATTAAGAAAAAAACTAGACCCAAAGTTACCTTTGAGATATTTATTAAAATTATTATTGTCATTTTGTTTTATTTTATTTGCCAAATTGGGTCCAACATTAGTAAAGTAGTCATTGAATTGATTAGCTATTTCTTCGGGGTCATCTAAAATATTTAATGAGTTGGTTTCAACAAAGCTTTGTGATATTTTTGCGCTTTTCTTGGGCTTATTGAGTAACTCATTAAGTGTTTTCCAGACCATTCTAGAATTCTGTTTGTATTTGATCAATTGATTTTCATATGTTTTTTTGGCTATTTTTATAATATGATTTAGTTTGTTTTTATAATTTTTGTACCGTTGTTCATTTTTGCTATTACGATTGATAAGGAAGGATTTGTAGAGTTTGTTTTTTTTCCTGATTGACTTTAATATACAGTTTGTCATCCATGGACTTTTGATTTTGTCTATCTTTTTATTGTATTGTTTTCGTTTGAGTGGAAAATTTTTTTCATATATATCCGAAAACATTTCTAAAAACTCATTATAGGCCTTATCAGGATCATTTGTTTCATTCATGATTTTATTCCAGGAAAGGTTTTTAATGGAATTTTTGAACGCCTCTGTGTTATTTTGATTAAATGATCTTTGGTATGATACTTTTCGTGTGTTAACATTTTTCGTGGTGTTTTTACTGGAGAAATTTGTATTAAACATGTGCACTATTGGCAAATGATCTGAAATATCACTAAAGATTATACCGTTGAAGCTTTCATTAAGTTCTTCTATATTGTTACTAAAAATGTTATCAATTAGTGTCGCAGCATGATGAGTAATTCTCGTTGGTTTTGTGATTAGCGGAAAAAAGGACGAAGTGAAAAGTTGTTCAACAAATTGGTTTGTATGATCACAAGATCCTGATTTAAACAGGTCAATATTAAAATCTCCCATTAAGTAACATGGTTTATTTTCTCGATCAATATTTCTAGAATCTCATTTATTGTAGTTTTAAATGATTCAAAATTGCCATTTGGTGGTCTATACACTACACCAATAATGATATTTTTACCAACTTTATTCTTTACTTCAGTGAATCTTGTTTCAATTATATCGTTTACGTTTTTATCCAAATCATTTCGACTTTTATACTCTAAATGTTTTGAAACATATAAACCAACACCTCCGCCTTTTTTATTTGGTCTATTTGAGCCGAAATATTCGTATTCATCTAAAGTAAAACAATCTATGTTATTATCTTTCAACCAAGTCTCAGTAAGTCCTATTATCTGGAAAGGTATGTCCAAAGTATACGTATCAATCAAATTTTTGAGTGAATCAAATTTGTTTGCAATACTCCTTATGTTCAAATGTAGTAGCGAAAATTTTTTTGTTATTTTTCTTTTTTCAATTTGTGATTTAAAATCTTTCGGTAGGAAATAGTCGCAACGTATTTTATTTAAGTTGAAAGACTGAAAGTGTTATCAAGTTCCATATTATTGCCGGAAAGCGCTATGTTTTGATTTTGTTGAAAAGGATTAAATCTTAATTGGCTTAGCCTATCCATACAACTTTGGCTTAAAATGTTTGTTGAACCTAAGACTCTGAAAGGGAAAACAATTGTTGTTATCATAGATGTTTATGGTGGGTTGTTGTGTCCTAGTGTGGTGCTATGTTAAAAAGATTAAAAAAAAATTTTAAGAGTGGTTTGTAATTTGATTCCGTTATCTGGTTTATGTTGTTGTGGTTTCCCTGTATAATTGTCCATCTATATATAGTTTGTCTCTTACTAGTTTAGCTTTTTTGCCAGCATCTCTTGCTTTCTTCATCTCTGGAAATAGACGTTTCCTTACTGCCACAATTTCTTCTGGGAACTGTTCCGAAACAGCTATACCCGTACCTTTTAGTTTTTTTGCGTTCGCCAGAATCCGGACTTTGTCTGGGAAGTAATTAAATTTGGCAACAATGGCCCGTGGTTTTGATCCGCGCTGTTTCCCCATTCTATGTGAGCGGTCAATCTTCGTCATTTTCGCATTCTCAATTCCAAAATGACTTTCCATTAGATTGTGGATCACCTTAGTTGTATTTTCTTCTTTATTTTCCTTCACATTGTAGAAAATAAGATTATTGCGCATTGACCTTGCCTGAAGGTCAATGACGCGATTATTTAATATTGCGTTCATCTGTTCCAGCTTCTCCATTCTTTGCTTCGTTTTTTCTTCTGCCTTTTTGGATAATTTATTTTCTTCCTTCAGGTCTTGAACCTCTGCGTGAACAAATTCGACCGAGCTTTTAACTTCAGTCAATTCCTTCTCCATTGCTTTCATACGGCTGTCGATCACATCAAGCTTACCAAGCTTTTTCATTATGTTATCAAACATTTCTTTCACATCCATATTATTTTCTTCTTCCTTAGCCTGCTTTGTATCATTTGGTTTTGGAATTTTGGAACGAACTGGCTTACTGGGCGAATTTTGTATTGAATTATTTAAGTTTTGCGCAGCGCGCTTAGAGGCCTGTTTCCTGTCCGCCATCTTATTAAGAGGCTTTTTGAAAAAATGTATCTTAACATTTTCATTGCCGCTAAGAAATTAATAGTAACCACTCCTGCTTGATATCTTGTCTCATAAGCTTTTGATTTTTTATCTGATTTCACCATTTCAAAGGGTTAGTCTGGCTTAATTCTGCCACTTTATGTGTATAATAATGCGTCTTGACTAATTTAATTTCATCTTGGATTTTATTCCTCCAATACCTGTAACTAGACCATTCCTTCCCATTCTTCTGAAAAGCAGTCTAGCGTTTTCTAATCCAAATATTAAGTTTGTTTGTCATCCACGGGCGATCTGACTGATGGATTTTAATTGACCTTGTTGGAAGATAGGTATGAAAGACAGATTAGTCAACTCTAATTTGAGAGAACATTTGAGGCTAAAAGAATGGAAAAATAAACGGAAAAATCACTCTGCTCAGTGAATAAACTTTTTTTACCCCATGTAACAAACCCTATTTTTATTGTTTATTCATCAATGTAAAAACACATACAAAACGTATACTTGATTAATTTGGTGACATCGAAAATTAATAGTGCATGATACAATTTCATCTCGGTGGACATTGCGGAATTCTATTGTGGAGCAAGCATTAAAAGCATTTGCTTAAACGTTAACGTTTCATTAAATTATTATATTTGATATATATGTACCTCTACTGAAAAGCACTTTGATACAACCCGTTTAATAAATCAGTAGCTTTTAAAACATTTACGGCTGTCAAATTAACTCAATCATTTTCAGTAAATGGCACATCTAAACCTTATTGCAGCTGTTACATAATCTTCCATGCACGCATCATTTTCATCCTTTCTTCCATCCTCATCTGGACTCACTCTATTTCGACCATGAAATATTCCGATGTGTATATTTGTGCGTAAATGTGCCGGTCGGAACACAAACACTCCGTTGTCGTATATGATACCATCCATTCCGTGCTGTTCCTTCTTCCTCATAAATGTTTTTGTCGCTGGATTATCTTGTGTAAACCGTCCAGGGAAAAGGGACGTAACAATTACAGTCATATTATGTTTATCACTTCGGGTGCATTTGTATTCAGCACAGGCAGTGGGTTTGGATTCTGTCATCGATACTGTGACAAACCCTTGTGAAATTTTGGTAGCGCCCATACTTTCAACTTTGAATGCTGCCATTTTATTTGGACACTCGTTGATATTCTCCACCGCAATTTGTACGTAACATACAACGACCCCTTTTTTATTTTCTGTGTACCAGTCCTGATCGTTAACTTGTCTAATGTCTATAATTTTCTTTAATTCTTCGCGCACAGGCATCTCGAATAAGAAACTATATTTCTCTGGACCTGCTAGGCAAGAAGCTTCATCTTCATAGAATGGCGAGGGTTTATTACTCAATGGCCTATTTAACGTTTGCATTGTGAAAAATCGATGCGATCCTTCTGAGGTTATTTCTATGTGATTTCTTTATAACATCCTCATCCAAACCTGTTTCCTTTGGCGTTAGTGGATATTGATCACCAACGACAGCCCGTATTTCCGCAAATTCATCTGTCCGAAATGTTTTTATACAACGTGCTTTATTCGGTTCGATGTTATACGATTGATATCTATAATTCACTCTACTTTGCGTGACAAATACTGTAATAAGCACTGACTCTGCTTTCTTTGTGGTGTCTTCTGCCATAACTTTCAAATAAATCTCTCCGCCCACCTTATCTAAGTTTAGATCAAACCGAATAAATTCTCTCGCATTAAGTTTGGTAGTAAATAGTGATATATGTTTATCTGATCTCTTCGATCGCTTCGTTTGATGCTTCTTCCAACTTGTGTCCAAAATGCGCCATCTTCCAGTCTTCTCTTCTAAGTACCAAAGCTTTATATTTTCTACTTCATTCTCAGTAATATTATATTTATCAATATCAAGTGAAATGTCAATGTCCCCTGTAGGTTGCAAACTCTTATCGTTTTCATCTTTAAAATCCATTTTTATCACACCAAAAGTCTCCAGTAGTTGTTCCTCGCCATCTTCGTCTACCGTGGTGAAGTCTCCATCGGCTTCTTCCACTTCTGTAACGTTTCTCGGATCAACAAAATTGACTTCAACCTTGACCGTCCCGTTATAAATTTCCCCATCTTCTGTCAACAAGCCTTGGGGAGGGACAGCAAATGCTACAGCAGGTTCTAATTGTGCGTCGTCATTATCAACTACATTTTCCTCGTTTGACCTATTTAATCCACGGGTATTTTGCGAGTTTCCCAGGGAAATCTCAAAGCCCATCTTCGCATCAACTTTAATAGGTTCAGGCCGAGGCTTCAGTCGGACTTCTATATACGTTTTACGGCCAGTGACCAACGGAATCACTTTTGTTAATTCCTGAAAATTGTTATAATTACGTTTATCCTTAAACGTTACAACAAAGCGAGAAAAATCACCAGGAACTTTAAATGAGAAATCACCCTTCCTTCCAGTACGAGCCAAATATTTATCACCGTGATAAATATATCCATATTTAAAAGGTTTATTGTCTGGACCTCCTCTTGCTACTCCTTTAACAACAGTTTGTTTCACAGGGCAATCGCCGCAACCACATTTTGTTACACTTTTTATGTCAAACGAATGCTGCAAACAAACGACCTTGATGTTCCTTGTAGCAATTGGCTGGCAACAGAATTTATCTCTACAATCGTTCATATTTTTTAGACCTCGTGCGATGCATTTTGTTCTCGCACATTCACCTACGTCAATAGTAGCAGAATTTGTTTCTCCTGCCGTGCAGCCCTGCGGCAGTGCAATTATGTGTTGAGATGGTGTTGGATCGCAGCTATCATCGGTGGTATCTGTTAAAATAAAGTTTTCAGACTTAGAAGGAGCTTGTAAACCAAATTAAAAGATGGTGGAAATAAGGCTTGAAGGTGTTCACGCAACAAAACATTTCAAAATCGAGACAACCTCTATGAAAGGTAATATATTTTGGAAGACTGAGTTTTCGATTTTTGCTGCGATTTTCTTATTTTCAGAGCTGTGAAAGAAAAATAAGTCACATCAAGAACATCCGTAACACCGATAAGAACATCCGTAGCTAATTCGATCCTTCATGCCCATCAAAAGACAATAATCGCACATAAAATCGCAGAAAAAATTGGAAGTGTATACGGGACTTAACTAAGTAAACTTTGAAGTCCTCACTGCGTGGTTTAGAAAGCAATAAAAGTTGTTATTTTTTAACTATGTAAATGAAGCAATCTGATTGGCTGAAGAGCGTTTCACAGCGGGCCGGTTTTTTTCATCCGGCCCCCTGTGGGAAATGTGAACAAAACGATAAAACCAAAGTAACGTACGGCTAAAATGTGCGGAAAACCTTTCTGGAAAAGAGTAAAAGAATGTTAAAAATAAAAAAAAACATTTTTTCGCCCGTTAATAGGCGTTATTTTTTTAATCGATTTGCCGTTGCTATGGTAACAAATATTTTCAATTTCGTTGGCTGTTCTCCGACTAGGATGTCCTTTTAAGGATTTGTTGACATATTTTTCTGTTTTATAAAGTCAATAAAGTCAAGGAGACCTCAGGCACAGTTTTTTGCATCCGGCCCTCGCATAAATAACATACATATCCGATAACCCTAATTATTATATTCGTCACTTCCGGTGAAGTGAAGTTCAGTGATTGGCTGAGAAGAATTTTCAGCGTTCAATTACTATCTCGTAATGGACCGGCACCTTCCCGTAATGGGCCCGATATTTCTCGGTAAAGACCTCGCGCTCGGTCAATAAGAAATTATTAATTTTTGAATTCGCTCAAGTATGGTTAATTTCTGATCTCTGTTATTGAAATTCCGACAGGCCGGAGACCTGATTCCACGTAATTAACGTGCCTTCTTTTACAAGCAGACTTTTTTGTGAGATATTGCTGTCATCATGGCGCAGAGCTTGGACGTTGGTTTAAAATGGCGATGGTCTCTGCATTTCTAGATATATACTGTAATGCACTAAAGGAGTTAAGTAAGATATTTATTATATACACATGAAAGCGCTGGGCTAACTTGCAATCTGATTGGCTCTCTATACTAGACAGATATTAGCTGATATTAATTCTTATTAGCTCATATCTGCCGTCTGGTAGAGAAACGTGACCAAAATGGCGGCAAGTTTTTAGGAGTTAAGGGACGATGAAATTCAAAATTTCCTTGATAAAAGTACACCAAAGTGCACCGAAAGGACACGAAACTTTGAAATAAAAGTGCTGAACGGTAGGTTAAAAATATAGGTTTACAAAACATATGAGTTTGTTTCTGTTTTTCTGTATAATAAAACGTTCGAGAAAAAAACACGATAAGGAATTTAACTATTAAATTTTTTCACTGTATTCACTATAATGTCCAAATTACGAATAAATTTGTTCAGTTAAAGTTATTCTGCTCACTCTCATCGTATATGACTAATATAGCTAATTCGTCGCTGCGCGCCTTGTCAGCTATCAGCACATATATAGACTTAAGATCGACTATAAGACTTAAAATATAAATGTTAAATATATTAATATTAAAACAATTTAGACATTCGCCAGGCCATCCTTTTCTTTTCCGTCCAAAGAAAAACACGTATAGTGTAGATAATACCACCATACTTACTAAAAACGGTTATCCTGGCAGGATCTGAAAATTCTGCTCCGTGATCATCGTAAACTCTACATTTTATTTCCCCACTCATGTTTTTAAAAACATGAGGTATAATCAATTTACTGCTTTGTATTTCATCATGTTGGTATTCATCTGCTCCACGATCATTAATCGTCCTAAAAAAAAATACAATTAGGGGGATAATCCGAAGATTTTTTTATCTTTTCGTATCTGTTTGCTTTCTTTATAAATACATTTAGGTAATTAATTGACGAGAAAATTTAGTTATGTGTGCAGAAAAGGCAATATAATAAAATTAATTTTGAAATTAATTGAATGAAATGTATTATTCTATGCATTGTGAAATGTTGGCTACGAAGGAAAACATACCATTCGAATTTTGCCTTTGTACTTGATTTTCCTTCACAACATAATGTGATAGGTTGACCTTCTAGCCGTAGTTTACTTTCAGGGTGAGATGTTATTTCTGGGAAGTCTAAAAAATTGTTATCAGTAACGTAATCAGTCCTTGATGCAAATCGGCAGTATCTTGACCGCTGCGATTAAAGTGATTAAGAAATTATTAGCCGGAAATAGTGCAAGGATAGTCGCGCAGGGGTGGATTCAGCACTAGTGCACTACAAAGCAAAGTGGTTCTTTTTAGCAGTTCTCGTGTAATGCAAATTAGTGCACTAGTGCCGGATCCACCCCTGTAGTCGCGGTTAGAGTTGTCAGAGCATCCACATGCATCGAATTCAATTCATAGTCGCGCGCTCAATTTTTTTCGATTTAGAGAAAATCTTAAACGACTATAGGCATGTCGCGGTTTGGTTCACACTCTACGCCTTTTTTTACCAAGATCTTCAAACTGTATCGTAATTGAGCTATTGATTATTCACGGTAGGGGGGAGCTCCTTGCTAGGCATTCGGGTTGAAGTGACTGATGGGACAAACAAAGCCGCGGGGATGCGTTTTCTCCGAGTTCTCCTTTTTCCGTTTTTGCTTGAAAATACACTCATATAAACAAGAATTAACGCCAAAGTAAGTTTTCACCAAGTCATATGTTTATATAATATATTATCGACATCATGAAATTACTTTAATTTTGTCCCCTACCAATTTTCCTCAAGATTGCTGTCACGACTGCTGCAGTAGGGTTAACTTTTGTCGTTCTAATTGATTGCGGTAAAAAGCCTTTTCTGCTAACGATGATGTTGTCCTCTGAAATACAGAATCCTTTCAATACGAATTTCCCAGAAACACCCGTCTTTCCTAATATTTTAAACGGAAACTCGGCAAGAGCAATGGTTGCATTCTCCAAGAGAATACCGGTGTTGTCTTTGACCACTCCACTTAGTGTGTTATCGTCACAAATACAAGCATCGCATGTTGTATCCAGCTTCCCAGTTGTGCAGATTTTATTACAATCTAAAGATGTTGATATAAATATAATTAGAAAAGGTAACTCACCTCCAATTTTTACAGCTTATTTTATATATTTTAGAGACATCCCAAAATATTGTACCGATTTTGAAAAGTAATATCTCCATGAATTTCTTTAAAAAACTATGACATATCAAAATCTATAGTTAGTCTTTTGTCTCACTATTGAAAGTTGTTTCATAACTTCACTCGATATGTAAGAAGTTATTTTGACAAAAAACCGGAATCACATATTTGTAATCACATTACGTTTTTGCTTACCAAAATCGTCCACTACAGTCTGTTTCATCCGTATAGGAATCTTCAGGTGGTAGACAAATAACGAAATGACGCCGCTTAAGTAGTTTTGGACGAAACGTGGTGGCCCAGGCGTTCAAACAATCTGTGGCGTAGCTGGCATTATATTTAATTGGGTGTCATACTGAGTCATGCACATGTTCATGTTGTGCGTGACTAACCCCTTTTAAAATCGACTGTCTTTACATTCTGTCGCAAATTGTCCCACATTGCCGCAAACCAATGAATGGTTCGTAATATTTTTTTCGCATAATGTAATCGGCGCGGAAGATTCTTTTCTGATTACACGTGTTTGCATTGCTAGTGGTGACAGCTGCCTAGCTTGTATGCAATGTTCTTACTCACGCACTTATTTCTTAGGGGGGAAAGGTGCTCTTAGTGCTGCAGTTGCCCATACAACTGTGGTTTACCTTAACTGTGTCTAGGTGGGAAGTGTTGTGTGGCTGTGTGTCGAGCAGGTTTAGGAAGCTGCGGTCAACCGATTGGTTCCGACACTCTTACTGAAAGGAGGGTTGAACCAAAAGACGTTGCGAGGCCTGCTCCTGCATGCCAGTGGTGCTTGTGTCTGTAACTGATGTACAAATATATAAAGATGCTGTATCATTAAATGATTGCTCGATAATAACTATTAGAATCTTCAGGTGGCAATCCTAAACGGATGAAACAGACTGTTGTAGCCTCTCATAATGAAGATCTTGTCTTTAAGGAATTTGTTTTTTACTTTTTTATTTCTTTAAATCGTCGGCTGGCATGCCTTTTTATGATTACGTCAAATGTATCTTAACGTCCGTTGGCCATCAGTCAAATCCCGGTGCTCAAGCTATACCAGTGCGTACAATTTGGCATTACATTTTCTTTACCTGGACATTTCCAGTTTGCGCATGCCCGAGATTCCAAAGACTTTTCACCGCATAGAGTGTTATCACCCAGAACGGAATTTGTCCCAATGCACGTTCTTTGGCGTGTTTGAATTCCATTATCACACGAAACTGAGCAATCAGTCCATCTTCCCCACCTCGACCATGAAGCTTCGACTGAAATAATAGAAAACGGTTTTAATCACGGCCATCTCATCGATTTTTAGCTCTATTGTCACCTACTTCACACATAAACCGAATCAATGGAATTAATGGAAAAAACTCCGGAAACTACCGTGTGACAAAACAACATTGACAAATATTTCGAAGAAGTAGAATTTCGAGAATAACAACCTAATTACCTTTACACTTTGGCTCTGAGGCGTTCCATTTACCATTGGTTTCACATCGAAGAGCTTTTTCCCCAACCAACATGTAGTGTTTATTACAAACAAAACTTATTTCGTCCCCTTCCAGTGATCCGCCACCAAGCACCTGGCCGTTCTTAATATATGACATTTTTCTGCAAAAAGCTAAAAATAAATGTAAAAGAATTTTACGCACAACAAAATGACACATAACTCTTGTTTTTTCTTGTTTTCCCTTAACTAAATATTTCTCGCAATTAAGACTACAATTATCTGGATGGTAAAAATAAGAAAAACCAAAATACGAACCTACACATTCAGGTGGGATATCTGACCATTTTCCATCATGACATTTAATACTAGATGATGATCCGATTATCGCATAAGAAAGTGGGACGTATTCTATTTCCCGTCCCGCCTGGGCAGGATCCTAATTTGAGCAACTAAATCAAACTTAATTATACATTACCAAATAGTAATCACGAGAAATAGATGACTATTGGGAGCCTTCTTAAACACGGGATTTCAATAGTCTACCGAGGCAACAGCTCGTCCTATAAATTGTGTTAGCTTAGATAATCTAAATATGCTAATAGAGTTGATGTTTGCGGGCATAAATGTGTTTTTGTTCCGAACTCATTTACTATTATATTAACTTTAACTTTATGCAATAGGTAAACACTTAAGTCATTCTTTTGATTGGCTTATACCAGGGGGCTAAAATATGTTTCAGCCCGGCAAATTTATCATTTTAGCCCGCAAAATACACAGCAATGCCCGGCAAGTTAATATAATCTTACGTCGACATTTCCATGTTGCACACTCTCGAGTTTCTGAATCTGCTCCAGGACACCGCCGGTTGTCATTCAGTATTAAGTTTGTTCCTGTACATGTCCTTTTTCGCATTTGGATTCCCGTATTACAAGAAACAGTGCATTCGGACCATTCAGACCATCGAGACCAAGTGGCTGTGACTATACAGAAATAAAAAAGTGCCACATCTTCAATCTTCACAGCATGTCATTTCTGAGAATCCAATGATTCAAATTATGTAAACTAACTCCTACTATTTTCGAGTAATGAATACATTTTTAATTTGGATACAACTGAATTAGTAAAAAATTGATATATATTACAAAATATCTTATTTTCCTCTATACTACGGCCAGTAGCCCCTAAAATTCCTCATACCTGATCTCGCTATGAGAGTATTCAATCCAGCTGGGTAACCATGAGAATGGTATGCAGCTTCCCCAAATACCAAGGCGCCAAATAACGAATCACGCGATCTGTGGGATATTGTGCACTTGCTTGAAATTTGAAGAATTGTCCACGAAAATTTAGTTCCTTCAATGTTTTGCCATTGGAGTGAAGTCGTGTTTCCTCCATTCACTAAGAGGCCCTCTTT